ATGGCCAGAGAAACTCGTGCGAGTGGGGAATTATGTAAATTAGCCGCACTGTGACCTCACAATCCAGTGTCAAGCAAAATTTAGCACAGCTTTCTCACAGATAGTTTGTTGAAAATTATTTTGTCATGTGGGATAAGACCATGGAGATGCAGCATCTCATTTACGAACAATGTCCCCCGCACAAGAAATACAATAAACAACGAAATCCATAATACCACATTAGACAAAAATACAAGTCATACCTCGGTTTTCGACCATAATCCGTTCCAGAAGGCTGTTCAAAAACCGATTTGTTGGAAAACCGACACCACGCTCTTTAAAAAAGAATTTAAAAAATCTTTATTGAACACGTCTGTTCACCATGGAACGCTAAACGAGGAAGCGTCACTTCCTCGTCTTCCCAAGGAAGCGTCACTTCCTCGTCTACCCGAGGAAGCGTCACTTCCTCGTGTAAGGAAGGCGAGAGGAGTCAAGTGACGCATTCAAGTGCGCTCAGTTTGTTCGAGAACCGAAATTTGGTCGTCATCCGAGGCATGAAAAATTAGAAATTTTCGGTCGAAAACCGATTTGGCCGAGAACAGACGTTCGAAAACTGAGGTATGACTGTAATACATATTCAATCATAACATCACACTTAAAGATGACCTTAGTCTCAATACAAAGTGAAAAGAAGAAAAGTCATTGATTCATGAAATAGAAATAATATTTTTAGATAAAATAAGAGACATAAGATTATTATAAATAATTAAACAAGGTATTTTTTTCAAGATACGAAGCGAGGGCAACAAACCTATACAACTGGTCAACAGCAAATTTTAATCAGAGATGCTATTAAGTCTAACATATTTTGGACATTGATTTGACGTTTTTGCTTGTAGATCCGGTTTTTGAGATAGTTTCATTTTTTTCCAAATTAAATTTGACCAATAAAAGCTTGTGCAATATGAATAGGTAAAATCCCTATTGCATTATAATTTATATCTATAACGTTTCAGAATTACTAAATATATTTCGAGTTGGATACTTATTATTATTATTATCATTATTATGAAAATCGAATGTGCTGAGGAATAACATGGGCTGATTCAGAATCAGCACCAAAAAAAATTGACATTAAATGTAAAACAATGCCCAGAATGAAACAAAACACCAACACCAAAATGAATCTTCTTCAAAACATGTTCAATATGTGCTTTAAATGTTCGTGTTGAATCAACTCTAAAATCCAATCATTTCCATTCATCAACTTTCTGGAGAACTCAACCATCATTAAATGTTGAAAGCAAGGAATTTAAGACAGCATTAAGTTTTTGTCTCTGACCAAAGAGCATATAGAGTGTGTGTATATATATAGAGTGAGAGAGAGAGAGAGAGAGAGAGAGAGAGAGAGAGAGACACACACACCCACACACACACACACTTGATCGGTGTCCAGGCAGTCTGGAGATCCAACAATTTGTATACATTGCAAGCAATTAAAATGTCACTTTCCCTTTATATGTCTTTTCATATGAAGCACTTTTTTCACTGCTGAAAATTTCTGGCTCAACCATCTTGTTGCATGCCTGCCTGCCAACCAACATGTGGGTGTCATCGGCACAGTGCTCTTTTAAGAAGCTGTGAAGGCCAGTTAACACAGGAAGATACTGACCCTCATAAAAAGACTGATTTTCATTGGACAAATTGGACAACAGTCTCGTGCCTTTTGAAGTTTACCGTTGAAGTCAGACTGGTTTGTGCGACGGTGTCATACATGGATCGAGTTTCCGGGCCTGCAAGACCAAGCTGTGGTGAGGAAGACGAAACAGTGTTTGCGGCATCAGCAAAACGACATGAGCTTTCCATTGACTCAGGCGTGGCTCCCTCCCCGTCACTGTTAAATATGTATCGTAAACTGGATTTATATGCCAAGTAGGGAGTACTTAAGAAGTAAACTGGCAATCCAAGTGAAATTTCGCTTCTGTTCTGGAAACTACAGGTCGTCACTTCAGAATATAAACAAGTTTGAGTCTTCCACCATATCGCCTAAACATCATGTTCAGATTTTTTTTAAAAACTATAGTCCTGCCTGCTTCAGTGAGGCTGTACGGAAATAACAACAACAAAAAAATGAAGCGATGCTTCTTTGGCAAAAGCAGCAGATTGCAGTGACTGACAAGAGGTTTCACATCATGGCCAAAGCCTTTCTAGTTATGACTCACAGCTTTAACCCTTCCTGTCAACGACAAAAATAAGCTCCACACAACAGTGAGTCAAATTGCATCGCTTCGTGCATTTGTACACGAAGATCAGCCGTTTCGTCATCTTCCATAAGCCAAAACGTAAGCACACAAACGTCAAATAAAATTTCAGTTGAATCATTTCTTGGCCAATCTGAAACCACTGAGAAAAGAAACTGCACGGCAGCTATTGGCACCTGCTTGTTGATCGTGTACACAGTATTTCGATTCTTGATGGTTTTAGGAATCACTCAAACAGTGACTTTTCTTTTTTTTCTCAATGCAATCAGGTCTGAGTCCTCAGCCTTGAGTCAAATGACTGAGCTGAATGCATATGTCTGACCCGCTGAGTGTGCAAACATTGCTGTGTAGCTGTGTTCAAGGGAGCACAAGTCCGGATATGAGCCTGACCCTGAATCATATGTGGAGGAAGTGGGCCATTACAGCTCAAGCTGGTGGTTCATATGAGTTTGCTTTAAAATCCAATTACAGAACTTCATCCAAGGACAACTTTCAGTCTTCTTTCTACTTCAGCAAGGCAGATGCCTAAGTCTACGGAACACCTCTTTAACGTCAAAACGGAGTGTATTAAATCAGATGGCTGGCGTAATATGCAGTGAAAATGTTGGTGTGTGATATTTGACTCACTGGTGATAGAGTTCTATTGTATAATATGGTCAACTTTATTTCCAATATTCACAAATGCTTGGAAATAATGTTGCCAGCAGTCGCTTTCCAAGCCTGACTGGTGATAGAGTTCTATTGTATAATATGGAAATAATGTTGCCAGCAGTCGCTTTCCAAGCCTGCCTTGCCACCTTTTGTCCCAGCGGTGAATGCCAGAATGTTTGACCACTGCAAATAGCATAACAGTTAATTCAACTTGCTGACCCAAGCGTGATCTTTCCAAAACAATCTTTGGGGGGTCAGGGTGCAACGAGAAAGGTGGTTATCTGACAAACCAAACGGCAGCAGAAAAAGTGCAGACTAGAAGGTCAGTCGCACACACGGTGAATGCAGAGCACTAATATGTAACCGAAGTATTGCAGCTGAACTTCAGCTGACTTTCAGCTGATCTTGCTTTTGAAAAGAAGTCAGCCAAGAAGCATACAGAACATTATAGCACACATAATGATTCCTTGTCTTTGTGCAAGTGACACTCAGTGACGCAGTGTAGGCCTAAAGTTGCTAAGATTCCAACAAGTCGGTCTACTGCTGCCAACATTATGACAACAATTATTACAACAACCTGTCTGCACAGTAATACGATCCCTATAATTAAACAGTAAACCGTTATCTTCCCCAACCATAGGCATTCCAGAAACAAAAACACACTCATTTACATTTTCATTTAAAAATAAATAAATAAATAAATAAATAAACGTATTTGCCAATGCCCAAGAGATTGTTTTTTTTTACAAATGAGTAAGAAAATAGTGAGGAATTGTATTCACGTGGTTTTAATGAAGAGTAAATGTAATAGTAATGAATTAAATGAATAGGCTAATAAAACAAATAAGGCTTATTAAAGAATACAATGAATTATTTATTGGTTCCTTAACACAACAATAAAAGACTGACTGGTCTGCAAAACTTTCCTTTAATATTATTTTGACTTTACAGCTGAGAGAAAAATCAGCAAAAATCATCCGAAAATTTTTTTTTGTTGTTGCATAATTTTGGGGGGAAGGTTTGAATAATGCTGATCTTTTCTAGATTTACTCACAAACTGATTTACTCAGTGTAAGATCATACCTTTTTTAACATAAGGTAAAGCTCATACACTCACAATAAGATACACAGGTTTACTGCACCATTTGCCATCTAATGAACGGAAATGTTCTGCCTGAGACTATACATCACAGGCATACATAAATGAACAAAAATATACTTGTAACTCATAAATCTTTTCAGACAAATTAATAGGAAGTGAATAATTTCCTGCAGCACTCTTGCCTCAGCACCCTGGTAGGGAATCACTTCTTCAGTCGAGAAGACTTTATTATGAGAACAAAGGAGCATCAGCGCAGAGCGTCAGCGCAGAGCTCCGATGCATATGTGGAACTTGGAGTCGCGGCTTGGAATTGAAGTGGATTTACATGGGACAGGAGATGTGAGCCAATCTCTTTTTCGTCAATGGACGCTACAGTTTCTTGTTGCTTTCAAACTTAGCGTGTCGCAGACGTGTGCACATTTTCAGCATGACGTCTTTGATCCACTGGTGAAAGGACACTTTGATTCGCTCCTCTTTCATCTATAACTGCTTCAAACAACAAAGTGTATGCAGAAAAAGTGGTTAAGATTGGACGTCTGTCTGTGTCTTATGTGTTGTGTTGTATTATTTTGTCATTTTATGTTAACTTTTCTTTTGATGGCGGCGCAGGCGCCCCGCAAAGGCTCCTCCCTCTCCTGAGGAATGTAATTTCATCTGTGCTGTATGTTGCACATGTAGCACATTTGATAATAAAGTTGAATTGACTTGATTAAAACTATTTGCTCCACCATAAGGTAAATTCATTAATATACCCTTGTTTCTTTTTACAGTAGCATTGTTGTCTTCATTTTCCAAAAGCAGTATGTGGACCACCAATAATAAAAAACATGAGCGGTGGTTACATTAATACCGCAGGAATTTTAATACTTAGCTATCACGTTTGCACACACGCTGCACTTAATGAATAGCCTACTTGAGTCATGTGGTCAGGCAAGTTTTAAATACATAAAACGAGGTCAGGGAGATGACGAAAGGAGATTATCTGTGATAAAAATGACATTGCTCACCACCATTTTGAGTTGCTGGAGATGCCACATGCACTACCAGATCAAATGTTCTCTCTGGGTCCTCCCTTAAAAAAACAAGACGAGGAGTCAAACATTTTTAAACAGAATGAATATTATCATTTCACAAAACATTTCAGGTAATCGATTAATTATGCCTTGTAGTAACAAAGTGCAGTGTTACTGTATTTCCATTTACATGATATATTTCTCTTACTAGAGCATATAACATTCTGATGCCATAAAGACACGAAGTTATGCATGACAACATATCTGAGCGGACATGGGACACGTGTTGTCAAGTCTTTTAAGGGGGTTAGCAGAGCTGCTATCACGCAGACAGAGCAACAGACTGACCCAAAAAGCTGTCGAGCCAGCTGGTGTGTCTCTTAAATCCACTACCGGAGAAGGCTCACATAACGACTACCATTTCCTCTTTTTTTCCCTTCTTCCTCTTGTTCACCATGCAAGCAAAGGCAAATGTCTATTTCGCTAAGTAAAATTGTAAAGGCTTACTTGACTCTGCTGTCCATGTTTTAGCTACCGCATCGCGACAGCTCCGTGCTGTGTGTCGGCGTTTCTGCTGCTCAGCTATCCGACAAATGTTCCCCTCTTCGTCCTGGTCCCAGTCCGTCCCTGTGACTTATCTGGCCCCTGCAGAAAGCTGCCGCATCTCCACATGAGAGAGAAAGGTGTCTCTTTTGTCCTTGTTCCGCTAACGTGGGCCCAGTCCCAATCGGACAGCACAGTGCTTATTTCCCACAACAAACATCACTCCAGGAAGTGCTGTCAGATGGACAGTGACGTCATCACGCCTGAAAGGATTTTCCGCCGTTTCATTGACATTTTTTTTAAATATGAAATTAGATGGTGACTGCAATATACGTGATGTTGTTGTTCAAACACTTGGTTAAAAAAAATAACATAAATTAAATCTTCCCAATAAATCTTTTTTAAACCCATCCGATAGTATATGAAAAGTGGTTTGAGCAATTAATTCGAGATCATTGACTTCCAAGTTTAAGGTCCATGTACTAGTACACATTTTGTGCTCACTAGTAAAACATTTCGATGGAACGACTGTCTCTTTTGGGGTTTTTTTTCCACTTTTGACTACTACCTTCCACTACTGTGACATCTCTGCCCACAAATACTGGAGGTCATCTTATGGATGCTCGTAGCACGTTACGTTTTAGGAAAAACTATATTTGTTGACATCTGAGTGTTACTGGTACTATTACTAGTGAAATGCTAAATGTCAATTTGTCGAATTGTACAATGTCACGAGTAATACTAGTGGCACAGTTGTCAACTTGTACACAGTTTTGCCTCACTAGTAACATGTGGTTATCCTTTGCAAAGCCAAAGTTGTCCCACTAGTTGACACAAATTATACATGTTGCAAAAATATCCCTTTAGTTAAGTGTAGTGTAGTGTAGTCACATGTGAACAGTGTATAATTGCATACCAGTTAGTGAGCTATGGAAACCCTTTTACCATTTATTTATTTATTTTTTACTGAACATATCCTTGGTATCCACCTGAAGGTCTATGCACTCGGAGGTACATTGGTCCTCACTAGGGGTTGGGGAAAAGAAGTCACTACGAAGACAGTCATTCTTCAAGTGCCCTTCAAGTACTACTTAAGGTGACAATATCCCATATTTAGGCGCGGTTCTTTCCTTCCTTATTAATCACAAATATTTCTTTGTCCATGCTTGGGACCAGCAATGGCCGGGCACTGGGTCATTGGCCAGGGATCGAACCTGTGCTGACAACTAATTTCTTGAGCAATCCAGTAGTCACGCATCATATATCCACAGATTAACTGCAACAACAACTACTATTTGACCGGTCCCAGGTGCTAGCATCCTCATAATAAGCCACTGTACAAATCAGCTATATTTTGGAGTAATCCTATTTTCTTATTTATGACTTGTTTCTGTTTTTTTTCCACAGTTTGTATGTTCTACGTGGTTTTTTCTTGAGGTACTTCTACTTCATCCCACATTACAAAAATGTATATGTTTATTTGATTTAATTAATTTAAGACTGAGGTGGCACGGTTGACTTGTTAGCACGGCCGCCTCAGAGATCGTGGGTTCGAATCCAGCCTTTCTGCATTGAGTTTGTATGTTTTCTCCCCGTCCTTGTTTGGGTTTTCTCTGGGCACTCCAGTTTCCTCCCACATTCCAAAAACATGCATGGAAGGTTGATTGAATGCTCTAAATTTTCTCCAGCTGTGATTGTGAGTGTTAGTAGTTTCTCTATGTGTGCCCTACGAGTGGCTGATAACCAGTTCAGGGTTTCCACTGCCCGCTGCCCAAAGACAGCTGGGATAGGCTCCAACACGCCCACGAGCTTGTGAGGATAAGTGGATGGGTAGATGGATGGTCTGACAGAGATTCGATCCAGGATATTCTGACTGTGAGACAGATGCACGAACTACAAGTACACCAGTCTGCATGAACCGAACCAAAGTGAAAAAATTGTATACATATAAATGGCACGCACATTTAAACTTGTCCTTAGGTGAGTAATTGTGGGCAAAAGGTGGATCCACAGCAAATTAGTCTAGTTGAATCTCTCTGCACAGCTAAAAGTGGAGGGATTAATGTTTGTTTCATGGTCTGACTCACAAATGTGAACTTGTATTTGTCAAGAGACTCAGTTCCTTATTTGTCAAGGGAACAACTCCCTGAAGTGAAACCTGCTGGCAAAATCAATTATTATTCTGACACTTCGATTTCCATCCTGAGGGAGATTTATGTCTGCCTGAATGTTGTTTCTGTTATCAGAAACCAACCCATCTCAGAGGAGCTTCAATTCTCTTTAGACTCTACTTTACCTTTTCAGTTTACAGTTACTCATATTCAAGCAGTATTTGTCTGATGGTAAATTGAAATCAAATCTTGGATGGGCCTCTCTGTCCTCTCCAGAGAGGCTGTCTGGATCAGAGCCAGATTTTTACAGACGGACTAAAAGGTAATTAAGTGGCAGCAAAATGAAACATATGGTTTTAGGCAGCGGGATGCGTTTACAGTGATAGCATACATACATAGATGTATATATTTTAAAAAAACAATCAGTAGCGTACACACATAATAAGGACCCCACTGAGGTTTCACATTTCATGGAACCATGCTCCAAAAAGATCCAGATCATGTTTATTTATGGGAAACCACTTCTGATGATTAGTAAACTTTGGTTTGGATTGGTTCTAAGCATTTGACCATGCACACACTATATATTGCTCGATTAAAGATGATTTATCATACATTCTTTCCACAATTGAAAGCAGTTGCTAGATGTCTTCATAAGATGTCTGTGACATGCTTTTATCAAAATACCCAAAGAATGACGAATTATTGCATAGTTTGCACTCTCTATTTCTTATCATGTTGAAAACAACCCCTTTGTATGAGCTGCAGCCACAGCAACCCGAAAGTGTATGATTGTAATCTGCCTTTTGTTATGTTCTATCATTGGTCTGACAGATGAAGAATTACAGTATGTTTTGGAGAAAAATATAATACATGGCGTTTGTTTCCACCCCCCCCCCCCCCCCCCCCCCACCCCACCCCACCCCGCCCCAAGGCAGATATGTTGTCAGATATTTATTTTTATTCAAATTGTCTGAGGGTAAGTGAAACCCACAACGTCAATCAAAAAAACTCTTGTCAGTTTTCATTACACGTAATGCCAGAGTAGACGCATCATCAGTGGCTTCCAGGACAAGATAACCTTGAAACGACTCATTAATGTCCAGTCATCAACCTTGCAGTTCTCAATCCTCATATAACTTTAATATTATAGGAAGGTATCCTTGTACTCACTCAAGGAGAGCAAAATTAAAATTTTATCAGGATTACAGGGATTTACCTGCATGGCAAATTACATGTACTCTACGTCTAATGTGCTAAATACAATACATTGATGTAAAGGGTCACAGAGAGACAAACGACACTCTTTCAGATGTTTCAATGCTGCTAAATTCTTCAGTAGGATTAATTCTTGCTCACACAGATCTATGTGGATTAGAGCTGTGTATATTTATATGTGGGTAATTGCTCACACTGGCATACTGGCTGGAAATTTGAGCACTTATCCAGCTCCCTAGCTGTGTACTATTACAACACTTTGTTCCTCTGGTGGCACCGTACCGTGAACTGAAGTTTTGATATTGATTTATAGATAGTGAAAATCTGTTTGTGTTGGTGCAATTTGTGTTTTTATTCGAGCGATACACTGATGGCTCTATCAGCCTTGATAGTTCAATGGGAATGTCATGAAACAAGAAGAAAAGCACCAATTATGTTTACATTTGTTGCACTCATGGTGTTACCATATCTTCCTGATGTTAAGGACTAATACGATAGCCACATCCTGGCAAATGTCCATACGAAGTCCGGACAGAATGAAACTTCCACAGAATGAAACTTCCAAAAGCATAGACACACGTAAGAGGTTTTGGTCACAAAAATATTTATTAACAAAAACGCAAGACTAACAAAGTACAACGGAGGAAACTGGTAACAAAGAACCAGGAAAATGCGAAAACAAACAAAGCGCTTGCAAAAGTCAAGGAAAGATATAAACGAAAATTGCTTGTCAACTTAAAGAACAAGAAAATCTAATACACGACAAAAAAAAAAAACGAGAATACATAACAAGGAAAGTACTCCAACAAAAATACTTTGAACTAATCAGGCAAGGCAATGAAAATTTTAGAAAATTAGGCACTTGGAGACAACGTCATGATCAAGGCTAATAATCCGACAGTCAGTTGTTGGCGTGGCCTGACTTATAAAGCAGGCAGGAAACTAGGCTATTTCAAGACAGATGCGACTCATGATGTAACGCCCACTCATCAGCTGGAGACTGAAACAAAAAGCAAACAAGACAGGATCATGACAGTAACCCCCCCACTCTCCCGCCTCTCCTCAATGGACCCCTCCTGGCCGACTACCTGGTTTCAAAAGATGAGATGAGTGGAAAGTTTGCAGAAGTGACAGTTCCAAGATCCAGGTGCGGGGAATCCACTGCTGCTCCTCTGGTCTGTAGCCCTCCCAGCCGACCAAATATTGGATACCCCTACCCCTGCGCCTAGTGTCCAGGATCTCCTTCAGCATGTACCCACGATCACCGTCAATCCGACGCAGCGGAGGTGTGGTGAGAGGAGGAGCCAGAAGGCTGGATGCCACAGGCTCGAGCAAAGATACATTGAATACAGGGTATACCTTCATGGTGGGCGGTAGCTGGAGCTTATACAATACAATACAATACAATACAATACAATACAATACAATACAATACATCCTGGTTTATATAGCGTTTCACAACAGCAGCATCTGAAACAAAGCCCTTAACAAAACAGTTAACATCAAGTGAAATAGTAAACACAACACATAACATAAAACACGGACAGTCGAGCAGTTCTAACCACTTTTCCCTCATACGCTGTGTTGTTTAAAGCAGTTTGAGATGAAAGAAGAGAGAATCAAAGTGTCCTTTCACCAGTGGATCAGAGACGTCATGCTCAAAATGTGCACACGTCAGCTACAAGCTAAGTTTCAAAGCCAACAGGAAGCTGTAGCATCCATTAACGAAAAAAAGAGATTGGTTGACTTCTCCTGTCACATGTAAATCCATTTCAATTCCAAGCGGCGACTCTCAGTTCCAAATACACATCTGCGCTGCGCGCCGACGCTCCTCTCTCCTTATCCTCAACTTCAGCAGCCATCCATCCAGCCGCACCAACTCAGACTGTCCAACAGCGCCGACAGAAACCTGGTTGATAACTGCCTCCACCTCGAAAGGTCCTGTGAAGCATGGTCCCAACTTGCGCAAAGTACCGGCCAGATGCAGATCCCACATCGACAGCCACATCTTTTGTCACACTTGACTTGATAGTTTGGGGCGGGGCTGCGCTGACAGTCCACAATCTACCGGTTGCGTGACAGAGGGTGGGTCTGATGGGTTTGATTGCTGTGTATTTGCAGTATCCCAGATTAAAAGCTCAACTGCGTCCTTTCGGTGTGGATTCTGTATTTTATCCTCGTACTTTCCTGGGTTTTTGTCACCCCAAAAATGTGTGTATTAGGTTGACAGAAGGCACTATTGTGTCCATGTCTGTGAATGTAAGTGTGTAAGTGTGAATAGTTGTTTTTCTATAGTCAGGAAAAGATATCGAAGATGGATGGAGGGATGGATGGATGAATGAATGGACGGATGGATGGATGGATGGTTTGCAGTAATGTTGAACGTCTGCATCATGCTGAATCCACTTCTAATATTTATCTTTGGTTTGATACACTTTACTATAAATTCTGAAAGTGTCAATCAAAACGGGCCCTATTCGTCGTTGTCATGGCACAGCCCTTGTATTATAATCTTATAAGTATGTAGCTCATAGTGTGCCCAATGAAGCGGCTGTCTACACTGTTGTTCCTCGACGACTGTGGGGGCGGGATGGTTGAATGGTCACGTGCTTGTGACGCACATTTGAAACAGGAAGTGGTTCACTCAGCGGCTCACGTGAATGCAAATCCCCGAAAAGACGCAAATCGGGTAAAAAAAAAACAAACTACATTGTCAGTCATTTTGATATTAAAGATATGTTCCGTGGATGTAGCCGCTCGTCAAAGATTGACAATGTATTGCCAATGTTATAAAACTAGAGTGTTGCTCGGCACTTCCACTCTCTATCAAGTCCACTTGTTACAAGAAGGACTTGGAACAAAAATGGCAAGCTCTCAGCCACATCTGGTCGGGTCGAGGCAACTGCGAAACACCGGCACGCCGACCCGTGAAGTCTGCGCCGAACTTAAAGACGTGTCGGAAAGCAGAACCGAACCGCAACTGGCGAGGAGAGAGCTGACGAAGGAGGAGCTGCAGATTCATAAATTCCACACAGAAGCATGTCAGGTAGCGTGTCTGATAACTTGAATAGGCTTTCATTAAAACTTCTTTGCATATATATTGATTAATACACTGCTTTAACTTGATCAAGTGTGATCAAACTTCTTTGAGGTACTACCTAAGAGAATTTCAATGCATATTAGTTTTCCGATGCAGTCATTTTAGACTAATTAAAAAATGAAACGTTTGTGATTATGACATCCGTTTCAGATACAATATTCAAGTACAAACGCAGTAATCCACTGGTCTATGGTATTATAAGTACTGTGTTGTCAGTAATGTCAGTGTACAGTAAATGAACATTTTATGATGGTGCCTGTTATAACAAGAAATTGATTATTTCCGTCGAAATTATTTACGAATGAGAAAACAGAAATCTAAATAAATCAGAGGCTGAATAATTTCCCAAACTGGTTTGTGTTTAAACTTGGAAGTTGCACGATCCAGTGCTGGTTTTAAATATGGTTAATGCAAGTTCATTGGGCCTGGACAAATCTATCTATCTATCTATCTATCTATCTGTCTATCTGTCTATCTGTCTGTCTGTCTGTCGAGCAATCTCACCGCTCACTATATATATATATATATATATATATATATATATATATATATATATATAGAGAGAGAGAGAGAGAGAGAGATCTCCAGCATTTAAACACAAGCTTGATGGTGGTGGTAAATTTTTTTGTCAGATCCTTCATCTTCTCCAGATCGTCTCTACTCCTCCATCAAGCAGAGCCAGTGAGGCGTGCAGTGGTGGCGGACGTGTATAGGTGCATCTGCATGCCTCGAGGCCTCTCTGTGTTGTAAATATTATGCTCCTGAGTGTGCAGTGAAGTTGAGGCAAGTTGGCCAAGACCTCAGGAGAGTGCGAGGGCCTGGGTGGCAAAAGCACAATGCAGAGGGGGCCCAGCGATGCCAGCTTTACTGTGTGGCCGTGCAATGCCATGTGAAATGACAGGCTGTGTCACCAAAAGGCCTGGGGCGTTTTTGCCTTTGTGGCCTGTCAAAGCTCACCAAAGAGTGGGCTCTCAGTTTGAAACAGACTGAGAGGTGACATTTTCAAAACTTCCTGAGGGATGGCAGAGGAGTTTGGTGTTTTTTACTCTCAGAAGGTAGTTGCGTCTCTGAACAGCTGGAGCATAACGTAAGTGGTTGTGTCAGAAATATATTCTTAAACTCCCTGCTTAACTTAAGTAGATGAAACCCATGTGAATATGATTATGGGTGTATATATATCATGGCATCTTTTTGACAAAGATGTTCTGTTTTATATCTCTGTCAATGCCATGATGCTCAAACCCTTTAATCTAAAGCAATTTGTTTTATATAGTGTATGTGTGTGTGTGTGTGTGTGTGTGTGTGTGTGTGTGTGTGTGTGTGTGTGTGTGTGTGTGTGTGTTTGTGAATTTCAGTTGTAGTACATGTCCCTTTAGTTTGACTTTATGCATGTGCCATAAGGAAGCGTACATGTTGTGTCTTGCACTAATTAATTGTTGATTATGTGCAGGCAAAGAAGCAGATGTATAATGACCCTTCCAGTGGGTACAAGGTGTTCACAGAGTATGCTCACCTTCAACGAGAGAAGTGCTGTGGCAGTGCTTGCAGACATGTGAGCTCCTTTGTGTGCTTCAATAACGTGTATTTTCTTTGCTACCGCGCTGTAATTCTATTCTGTCCTGTGTCAGTTATTATTCCATGTCTTTGGATAATAATGGAACATGCATTTTGACATCGTTCTATAGAAATTTAAACTCACTACCGGACTCGTTGTTTTGGCAGTGTTGTACTGCCCATATACTGTTTAAGTGGAATGTCACATGTCACTATTTAAGGCACAAACCTGCGCCCAAAAGAAGAAAGAATTTAGCATTTGTTCATCTGATTTTTATGGTTGTTATCAGGAGGATCAGGCTACTTCCTGGTTCATACACAAAAAGTTTGTGTTGAATTGACTCAATTTCATTGATTCAAATGGCTGTACAAAATTAAATCATCTGGATATATCTAACTTTTTTTTTCCCAAACTTCCTGATCGGTGTTCGGCTCCAAAATTGTGATTGTGAAAAACCTAACAACATGTATGGTGAAAGTGTTTTTTTTTTTCTTCATAGTTTGGCTTGTCCTGCGGCTTTTACTCAGGTGTATATATTAAATTTAGAGCTCTGCCTCACACCCAAAATCCCCGTTCCATAATTATGTTGACAGCAGCGAACGAGTTCCGATTGGATTTGAAATTTCCGCTCAGAATTACATGAAGATTTTTCTTTTTTAGTTTAAAAACTGAATGCTTTGGGACAGTTTTTTTTTTTTTTTTTTTTATGGTCAGATGACATAAGATTGTAGAAGCCTTTGGAACGGCCTTTTCCAAACCCAAACCTCAAACCTATTGAAGATTTGGGGACAATGCTGGTTGCCCGTTCCTGGGCCAGGCAACCAACCAATTAAAATGAACTCCACCATTTTTGCCAAGAAAAGCGATTAAAAATACATCCAGAATTATGCCAGAAGTTGGCTACAAAAAGCGTCTGGTGAAGGTGAAAGTTGCTCAAGGGCATTTAAGGAAATACAGTAGGACGGATTTTTTTTTTTTTTTCTGTATACCTTAGACCCCCATTATTCGTGAGGGATAGGGACCGGGCCAGCCCACACACACACACACACACACACACGCACACACACACACACACACACACACACACACACACACACATATGTATCTATCTGTCTATGCGTGTTCCATGTAAAATGAGGGGAAACAATTGTCAACAAATACTGGAAAATTGTTTTAAATGAAATCTGTGAATCCAATGTTGTGGTCAACTGTACATACACAATTGCAAAAAAAGGATTTATGAACTCTTTGGATGAATTTTGGTCATAAATGTCATCTGAGATTCATCTGCGTCACCACAACAGAAACCCGCTTTTCTTAAAATAATGCCACAGGGGAAAACAAATGTTCGCATGCTTTTTTTTTCTGAAGACAACATCTAAACATCATACAGTATGACACTAACATCTTGTTAGAATAAAATGGACCGTTGTGATGACATACAATAATAGGTCCTTTAAAATCCAAAAGAATTAACAAAAAGAAATGAATTGTGCTGGACAGAATATTGACATGTGAAACAAAAGTATGATGTGGTGTTTCTAAGACCACTTGTTTGATTATTATTATGACGGCATGATTGTTTTAGGCTGAAAGTGAGCATTGCTCTCTTCTGTCCCAATGACAATTGTTCCGGTCTGTTTTTCCGTCCTGCTCTGTTAAATCACATCCAGTCTTGCTTGCCAATGACTCTGTTCCTTCTTGTACTTTTGTCCTCTTTTTTTTTTTTTTGTTTGTTTGGTTGGTTTTTTTTTGGGCCTTTCTCGCTGCATGACTGAAGTTGCTCTCCACCTGCAGCTTTTTAACGCAGTTTCATTATTTCATTCTCTCCTGCAGTGTCCTTATGGCCAAGTCAACGTGAAGGACCCTGCCATGAAGAAAATATTTAATTCTCTATTTTATGTATAGATCCAATGTGGCAAGGTAACAGGTAGGCAAGATTGTAACAAGAATCTGGCGCCTTGTTTTGAGCCATTTTTAGCAGCGTGCTGAATGATGAAATTTGAGTAGTGACTGTGCAATACCTCCTATACATCACAACTATTCTTCATTATTCCCATTTTGAATATGGGGGGGAGGGGATTGTTCTGTGTCTGACTCTTGTGAAAAATACAATTTCATGGTATTTTTGTTGTGAAGCTTTTCTTGAATCTCGACTGGAATGCAGTGGGTTTCATTTTTCATTCCTTTTTATGAGTACTTAATTTCGGGTGGTATTTCTCTTCTCTGATGTATTAACAAGGGTTGTGGGAGTATCGGGATGAAAACTGAAAGTGCATTTTAGATGTTTGCCCTCAAGATAAAGGGCATATAAGAGAAGATAACAGTCGGGTGATAGATAACATCTTATGCTCTTTTGCTTTGCATCTCTTATTATTTATTTTCTCCCAAATGTACGAGGGCATGAATATTAGCATCATTTGCACTCTGTTTCGGCTTGACTAAACTCACTACCTTAGACTGAAATACTGCGTTGTTAAAAATAGGCTCGGGCCAAGGGTCAGCCCTTTCACTTGGCTGCGCTGCTTTTACACCACTTGATGGAATCCGGCTGTTCACAAACACGGCGCGGACATCAACAGCAGCCCCACTGGACTTGCAGCCTCCTGGCAACACTTGGCTAAAGCGCACTTCCCTGCGGCTGCTCTCCTGAGCTGCAGCCTAATGAACTCCCGGGCCCTCCTTTCCCACTACTGCAAAAGATCAACTCGTGTTCAAGAGCATGTATATAGGCTTATAAGAGCAGAACACCCCGTGGCTCTTAATGGGCTAATACAGAATAAAGGGTGCACTAAACACTGCACTTTGCACAGTTCTAGCGGTGCGAGGTAAGGCCAATGGCTGGCTGTGCACCACTCGCAGATACGTTGAGGAAATATGTGAGGGTTGACTCGTTAGCGCATGTGGGAAGACAGCGCAATGCCTTGAGGCTCTGAGCTTGTCACACACGCTCGCCTGCCTCTGCCTGATTGGGCAAACGGAGGCATGTGAGAGGATGTGTCTGCCGCCGAATTCTGTCTGTGCCGACAACTGGCGGGGCCACTATCCTCCTCGGCAGGTGGGTCCTAAAGGCAAGCGCTTGGTGATGGCAACGCAGGCCTGTGAGCAGCTACAAGGAGATTTATGATCCCAACAGTGCTGGGGAGGACAGGTTCTTGGGGACGTGTCGCCGGGCGGGATGAGAAGTGAATTTATGTTGTGTTATTGTAAAGTGAGGCAGCGAAGCGTGCGGCGGCAACATCCTACAGCGGGATGGTTAAGGTGTCACACCCATCAAGTAGGTTACCTGGGTCGGCTTCCCTGCCGCCCCTTTTGCCTGGGGACTTTTCTGTCGCTTTCGAGTAGATGCGTTGCCACTCACGGCCTTGGCAGTCCTGCAGCCCGGACCATGAAATTGGCCACCTTTAGTGTCTGCCTTGTCCCTCCACATCTACACAGTCCATTGATGGCACCTTTTGGAAGGTTGTTGGTCCTCACCCTGTTTTAGTGACACAAACAACACAGAAAAGCCACTCAGTCTGGCTGAAGTCATCTTATTCATATTGATGGTCTTTCAATGAACCTCCATTCATTGATCACATCGACATTTAAATAACATTCCACGGAGAGGAAATGATTGCTTCTGACTTTAGGTTTTCATCCCCAAGACTGAAGGCAGTTTCATGTGACTTTTTGAAAGTGTGCAGCGTATACCGAGAAAGAACCCGATCAACTTGGATGCTGAGTTAGTATTTAAATGTCCAATTTTGTGGATTTATTTTACCACGGTCTGCTTTCTCATGTGTCAGTCTAATTTGAACTAATTCTGTTGCTTAATCTTTTAATATCCTTGCCATTAAATATCAACAGAATGTATTGACATGTATTTCAAGTCCAAAACAGTAAAATGCATTTTTAGGCAAACACTTGTTTTCAAACATTTTACCAATGTTCCTTTGTTTGGTCCGGAAATTACAGCAGCTGGTCAGACACGAGGTGTTTGTTTCAGGCGTTTTGGACTGAACATCTTTGACCTTCAGCTGAAGCATATGCTGCACGAGAGCAGTGTGGCAGCAACTATCCGTGTGCCTTTCTGCAGGACGATGGCACTAGCCGCAGAGAAAACGAGAGCTGTCCAGTTTGTAACTGTGACCAGACATGCTCCAGTCACAACCAGTTGACAGGCCGAGCAGCTCCCCCCTGCCTCAGCCGTCCCCGCACCCTTCTCTCCATCTCAAACAGGCACGGCAGCCCTGCGGCCAACGGCTTCCACCACAGTCACTTGCAGCATCTCCATCACTATTCGCCACAAACTGTCACATGCTTGGCAGGGGGTAAAAAAAAAAAAAGTGAGTGTCATTCTTATGATTGCTGAAAGGAACATCAGTCCCAGCGATTGGCTCGGCCCTGCCTTATTTGTTGGAGTGGGTAGACGTGTGGAAGTGTCTTGATATTCAAGCAGCATTTGAACAGCCCCTCCATCAACATCTGGTCTACACAGACAACGTCAGCTCGCCTCAGGGTAGCATCCCGCACACTGGTCATATGGACAACCGGATCCCTGTGGTAGAATTAGTGATAAAAACACACGCATGGCCACTGTGTGACAGTCAGGGTGCCAGATTCCTTCGGACAGACAGGGCTGCAAATAGCACAGAGGAGCAGTTGCTCCCCTGGATCGCAACTGGTGCACACGCTGACGCCAGGCCAAGCCGTGGCCGCCAGATGAGCCCAGATAAAAGGCGAGTCCGGTGCACTCACTGGCACCTCAATGAGGTACTGTTTTTGGCAGCTAACCGCATGCGTGGGCAGACAAGCTCAGTCTGCAAGGACTTGGGGACCAAGAGGTCGTAAGTTTGCCTCCTGTCCCCCCTCCTACAGAAGCCTATTTGCAGACCATGGCCTGTAGAAAGTGTGATTCGTTGCCGGAGAGATTCTACTTTGTGTCCTGAGCGCTTGTGAGGTATCCTTCAGCAAAGCTACCTTCAGTGTGGTCCTGACTGTATCTACCAGATTCAAGTACGATGGTACACTGGAAACTGTTTGTGTGTGAATATCCCAACTTCTCTGCGAATTTTAACAAGTCGGCGTGAATTGAAGCTCCACCTTGGGGAATAAAGAGTGATATTTTGTTTGCAGCTCTGTAGCGGCAACTTAATTTCCTTTTGTCGCTACGTCAGCAGGGCATGTAGGTTCCCAACTCGTGCCTTTCCTCGACGGGCCTTTCCTTTTAGCAACGACAACAACGAAAACATGAGGCCGCCATCGTTGATCACCCCCAAAAAAAGCTTTATTTCCTCTTGAACACAAATTAAAGCTTTACCAAAAAATGAAAAACATAACTTCTACAATACACTTAAACGAAACACATAACACGTATACACTTATCACGATATTAACACGGTCCCAACAAAGGTGTTGCTCCATGCCCTACTGTCTTCCTAATGCAGCTTACGCAAACCTGTCCTCTTAACAGGCCATAGACAGGACAACTAATGGAGCCCAGATACTTTAATATTCTTCCAAGTAAAATAGCAATAAAATATCAAATATAAGCCAAACTGCTTGCACCTATTCAATTCAAATAATTCAAATAGCTAAATATATCATTTAACCAAATTTTCCTTATGGCTCTAACAAGCTCTCTCATCAATAGTGTTACCGGCCACTAAAAGAACCTTTGACTCTTTCTTCGACAACGGACGCTCAGACCAGAAGAACGTAGCCGGTTTTAACAACCTAACACCACATCCAAACATCATCGAAAACCAGTGTGTCTACCCTCGAAAAAGCTGTGCTTTGTTATATCGCAATAAACAACATCCATCTATCATGTTACCTTGTCCTTTCTAGTGTAGCCAGATATGAACTAATACGTGCACCAGCCCCCTGGAGGATAGCCTATCCCAGGGGACATAACAGGGAGTGTGTGGAGGTGGCGGCGGGCTGTTGGAGCTGTTTTGGGTGTAGTGAGGAGGGGGGCCTGGGGTGTGCAGGCAGCAGTTGGTGTGCAGAGACCAGAGGCTCAGACTAGCTAGTTAAGAGCTTCTCTTTCCTATCCTCCATCTGCCAGGGACTGGGGTTGTGATTTGAGCTCCAGCAGAGCAGAGCAGGGATGAGATCGAAGGAGGGTTGGTGGGGGGTGTTTGGGGTATGGAGAGCAGGAAGAGACAGAAAACACAAAGTGGAAGAACAGGGAGAAAGTGAGGGGTAGAAAGAAGGAAGGTTTGGAATGGAAAGCAGGATATGAGATGCCTGGAATGTCGATTTAATGCTCCATCGACACCTAAAGGCTCCACATATAGAAAAAAAATATAGATTTGCATGTAAAGTTCACAGTAGGGATAACTAAGGATTGCAATTCCCCACCAACACGTGTACGTGTAGTCCATTTTCAATTCAGTGTATTCATTGCACACAAAATTTTGTGCGTGTCCATTTTCCCGCAGGACGTATTTCTCATTCTTAAAAAGGTCCTAAAAAGGAGAGAACGTTTGACGTTCAAGTGTTCCTTATCCTTGAAGGGGAAGTCAAGTCAAAAATGTTCTTGGACAGTACGTTGTTCGCGCCTCCACTAGTCTAAACACGGCATTTTGATTAATGTTGCATTTGAGGAATATTAATGACACTGCAAAATCCACCATTTTTATCCATTGCAGGGGACGACCACTTGCTGTCAATTGAAAATGACAGGGCTCAGGTAACAACCAATCATGACTCACCTGTTTTCTGGATTTGGTCATGTGACATTCGTGAGCTGAGCCCTCAGACAATGTAAGGTCATTATCAGTTGACAGCAAGTGGCAAAATGGCCTCCCCCTGAGACGGATAAAATGGCTGGATTTCTGAATTTCGCTGCTTAATTCGTTGACTAGTGGGGCCGGATAGCACATACAGTATAGTGTTAAAAAAAAAAAAAAAAGTTTTGACTTGACTTCCCCCTTAAAGAACCATGTATCAATCAGCAATCAATTAATGAAAAAAATTGTGTCTCATCATAACGTCACAATTTATTTGAAATGAATTCCTGGACTGGCACTTTTTATTGAGTACTATGCCAAAAATCAATGGGCTTCTATTTCAGCCAACAATTGTAGTTAATAGCTTTATGAAAAAAATAATACAAAATAAAATAAATGTCCTTTACCCCAAAAATGGACTCATGTCTGCTTTTGTTTGTAAATATTTCAAGGATGTCTCACCCTCCTCCTCACACACCCACCAAGGCACATGTGACTGGGATGCAGCTTTACAGCACTTCACTCCTCCCTCTGATCCTCCTCCTGAAAGCCCACGACGCACCACCCACCCACCTCCCTTCGCTTCCCTTCCCCTCTCCTCTCCCTCATTCTGTCAGCTTTTCACCACGGCAGATCCTGGGAGAAGCTTCCCGCCTCCTCGGCCCTGCTTTTGGGAGGTACAGAGAACGAGACTGAGTGTCACTTGAGGTGACCCAGAAATGATAACGCCAGATGAACCCTGGACGTGTGCTATGATAACCACTGATTCCTACAGCACCGAGCAGGCAGTCATCCTGCAGCTCGGTGCTGTGTCTGCGGTAGCCCGGTTGAACCGAGTCTGCTGCACAGATTCCCACTGTGAGCGGCTATCATGCTCAGGAGCCACAGCGCACGGCATGCACATTGCAATGCACACTGAAATGGATCTCAGTGGCCCTGCATTATTGATGAGATGCATACCAGGCAAAGGAGCAGAGTGACTTGATTGCAGCATGGCACGTGTTCATTTATGCAAGCAGAAGCGGTGTAATTAATTGTCACCCTTTGCTCACAGCCCAAGTGTTCAGCCACACAAAATTCTATTCACTCCTTGTCAATTGAAATCACTCCTCCCGCAAGTGTGATCCTGCCTGCGGGATGGCTCCGTGCATGTGTCATTTTAACAGTTCAATTCAGGTGCAGGCTCGGTGCACTTAAAGGTCGGTGCTATTTTATGACCATTGTGAGCAACCCTTTATGGCCTGTTTTTTTCTTTCAACATTACCCAGCCATTTGGGGACATGAATATTCATTAACAAAAGCAAAGGGACATTGCTTTAATGATAGTTGAGGAAATATTGTCTCATTTGAGGTCAGGTACAATGAAACCACTTCAAAACAATATGGAGGATTTGGGGACCACAAAGGTTTGACATTACTTAACTGCTGAATGTTTCACCTTTTTTCTTTGATTCATAAGATACTGCAGTATAAGGCCATACGTGTTTGGAATGGTAAATACAGCCAACATTGAGCATATGTCAGCTACCTTATTCAAAACCAGAGGAAGTCATTTCTATATATTTGTTTTGCTTTTTAGGGCAGCAGTGAACTTGATGATTAATTAAATGAATGCATTCTTTTCATTTGTTATTTTACGACCAAAAGAAAAGTGGATTTTTTTTTATTGCACTGTATTGAAAGTCTCTTGGTGGTTTCATGAGTTTGATTAATTTGTTGCTATAGTCCATTTTAAAGCAAATATAGCATTGGCTACGATGTAAATATCTATAATCGATGTTAACAATATGCTATAGCTCATTTCGAATTGTCACAGACCTGCAAGTGGAGCTTCTTATTCAAAACACTGAGGCGTCATACAGAGTAAAGAGCGCATACGGTATTTTGCTCTGTCGTGATTGATAATAACGAACCTAAAATGAATGTTATGTTTTCTAAATCTTTGGATGACTGCTCATTGGTGGCCATAAGGCGGTAACCGATACAGGATGGTGTTATTTAGCCCTGTTTAATTCGTGGCGACATCAGCCATCAGAAGCTACACGCGCTCGAAGAAGGCCAATTGGCTCGCAGTTTTCAGAGCAATCGTGTGTGCGCCGTGTTGTGTCTTATGCATGCCGGAGGAATATTTAAATGGCTTGCGTTTTAATTGAGGCTGGAAGTGGAGCCCCAGCTCGCAAACGTGGAACAGCCCCCATCTACCGGCAGGCAGGCAGGCAGCCTCCCTCTCCTCTCCTCCTCTCCCCGCCTTGCCTCGCCTCTCCTCACCTCTCCTCCGCTGCAGCGCACAACAATCCGGACTGGAGCGTCTCCTCCGCCTTGCGCATCGCGCGGCCATCGAACCCGCACATCCGCAGGTAAGACCTTGACTTCCGGCCAGTGTCTTGGAATAAATACGGCAATAGGAGCCACGAGCAAAACATGACGCTTGTGTAAAGCAAAGGGGTAACTAACTAACAAACCCTCCTCAATAAAAAGAATAACTCTCGGGTTGTATTTATTTCTTTTTTAAGAGTTCGCTGTTAGATAGCTACACTGCGTATCTGGCGTTTGTTTCGAAATTACCTCATGTGCATGTACCTGAAGTCATTTCAATACAAAATAGATGAAAGGTATTAGGAAAAAATGTTTTCTTCAATTAGGGCAAGACAAACGTCATGCTATCAACGCCATGTTTCACGTCAAATACATTTCGATTTAAAATGCTTCAATAAACTGAAATACAGTGAACTACTTGTGTTTTTAATTGGATCGACTGCATATACATTTTTCCCTTGTTTAAAATAAATGGAAATCAGTTTGTTCCATACACTCAATACCTCATTTTTAACGATTAAATATCAGGAAATTGTATATTGTATTAGGTGCATATCTATGCCCCAAAATAAACAAATAAAAATCACTAGATGAGTATCTCACAATTCAGGCTTAAAGCAGTCCAACAGACTTCTGTGTGAAACAGTGATGGGTGGGGGGCAAAATGAGCGTGTTTACTAGGAGAAAATATCACAATTATTCATGCAAATCCACAAACGACACCAGCCCTTGTGTGCTACTCGCTGCGTGCTCACTGACGCGTCGCTAAATCCTTCTCAGTCAAATCAAATGTTACCGCTGGAGGCTACGGGTCAACACAATTCTCAAGTCGTTAAAAATGTTTCCATAAAATCACCGTAGATGTGAATGAATTCAACGCATTCCTTTTAATTGTGAGGAATTTAAAAAAATCGTGCACATCCTGTGTTCATGCAGGTAAAAAAAATGAAGGTGTGTGTGTGAGTGTGTGTATGTGTGTATGTATATATATATATAACGTGAATACACTCATACTGGCTTAATCTTGTCAGTGTGCAAATATGAACGTCCTTGCAATTCAGGTCCAAAAGCCTGCATCGGGGCTCCAATTAAAGGCTACACTACTGGATGGTGGGTGCGTAATAGTGTAAAACATCATCAAATGAATTGAGAATATAGACTATGTCTTATGGTGACCAAAGTCTAGTTGGTTTGTTTTATAGCATTTTATGGCGTGGCTCCATTGGACTTATTATTAATGTATATTATATTCTGAATTCCTTTTTTTTCATAACTCGTGTTACCTATTTTACCGACCCCTCTTAGGTGCCACTTAATTGCGTTATGTCAGTGGCGCCTTCATAATGTGGATCATATTATATCGAAAATATACGAAATTTCAGGAAACAGGTGAGAATTGACGCGGTTTCCTCCCCGCCCACCGATAGTATTATATTATTTTTCATTTCTGCCGCTTGGTCTGTTCGATACGTGGAAATTTTCACTGTACTTCTCTTGTCCTTAATTAAGTCCCACTGGAAGTAAACAAAGGTGCTGCATGGCCCAATTCCCGAGGAAGAGACAAATGAATGTAAGGTAATTACAACAGATAATCAAGGTAGCGTTATTAAATAAACTGTTAGAATAAAATTAAAATGTAAAAATGGAAGCTATTTAATGTGTGTGCATGAGAGTGGCAATATAATTCGGATATGATACAGCAGTGTCTTCTTTCGAAATATTTCATTGAAAAAGACCCCGCCCCCCCCACGCGCGCGCGCGCGCACACACACACACACACACACACACACACACACACACACACACACACACACACACACACTAAAGTAACTAAACACTTAATTGGAACATCAGATGAATTATTTTTATTGTAATAGTAATGATAATGCAGCTAAGTGGAAATTTAGGAAGGAATGTCGTGTAGTATCTTATTTAGTAATGTTTACATTTTAACAACGTACAAGTTCTTATTTTTGGAAAATAAACAGTGAACGTGACGAAACAAACTATTGGCCAGCCAAACAGTGACATGGTGACTGAAAATGATGTGAACAAGTTGATAGTGTAAAGTGAAGCAGTGTTGGCAGACTTGGGAGGATTTAAGGCAAGGAAGACACTTTGTTGAGCAATAGGAATGAATGGCGAGGGAGAGTGAGTGAGAGGTAGACAGAGAGGAGAGAGAGAGAGAGAGAGAGAGAGAGAGAGAGAGAGAGAGAGAGAGAGAGAGATGGGGAACTCCTCCTACCAAATTATTCAGGCTGGGCAGGCTTTGCGCTCTTCACAAATAGGACACGGTTCTCAAATACAGGCAGTTCCAATCTGACCTCCAAATACCAAATAGCCCTGACTGGGAACTTTGGAAGTGGGGGAAAAAAGAGAACAAAAACAAACCGAAGCTTGTGTCGTTATTTTTGGCCACTCTGCAGCCACCCCCCTCTTTCCCCTCACCGCGTTGGACTATATATATATATATTTTTTTTTTAATCTGGATGAGAGACATTCTGGAATCAAAGAACACGCTGGTGCACGACCAACAATCCTCGTCGTCCCACCCATGCTGCCGCTGTTGTAGTTTTCCCCCCAGTTTTTTTTTTCTTCTGTGCTTCCAGTTGCCTTTGCACGCAGCGGGCCGGGAGGTGATCCGACTGTTTGCATTTTGGATGCGCTGAGCCAAGCCAGCAGCACACCAATCGGCGTCCACGGTATATGGAAGTGGTGGGCTGCAAGGCAGAAGCAGCCGCTCGCACGTTGCGCCCAGGACCGGGAGCCATGCTTTTCCACGGGATCTCCGGGGATCACATCCAAGGGATCATGGAGGAGATGGAGAGAAGGTCCAAGTCGGAGTCTCGTCTGGCCAAAACCATGCAGATCAACGGCAGAGAGACGGTGAGGCCAGGACTTTAAATTCAATTGGAAGGAAACACAAAGATAGCCAATTTCTGAAGGGGTTGACGGCTGGGATATACCATTCCAATTCAAAATCTTTTCCCCAAAGATAATAACGGAGCAATTTTAATTTCTAACCATGACAAATAATGGGTGTTTTAACAGTCTCAAACAACTACAAGCATCACGTGTAGATCTAACCAAAAATATTTTCATCATAACGTGACACAATTAGCAAGTTGTAATAGTAGTTTTTTTTTTTCATTGACCAAGCACAACATGACGGATCTATTGCTCACAATTGGGATACAGTAGGCCTACACATAGTTGCTGTTGTAGACATGGCATCATTTCTAGATAAATAAACAAATAAATAAAAATAAATTAGCCTTTATATTGAAGTGGTAAACGGTGCACATAAAAGTAAAATGTGCGCATGACATTAGGCTAATCATGGCAGATTTTTGTGCACAACAAAAAATATTTAGTTTGGACTCAAATGTGCAGGATATTTTGCCTGCGGTGTATCACCAAGGCCAGACCACCTGGCATAGAAAAACATTTTGAAAATATCGACCAAAAAAATTATAGTATAATACGATTTTCGCGTAAAAGTGTATCACTGCGTGTCCATGTTATTACCAATATGGCAAAAGGGGATTTTTTTTCCAGACTGTGTACTGAAGGAGTTCATTGTTATGTCCAGACCATGCCCTCTATGAGCCCGGAGAAACCCGCCCTGTGCGCCGGCTGCGGGGGCAAGATCTCGGACAGATACTACCTCCTGGCCGTGGACAAGCAGTGGCACCTGCGGTGCCTCAAATGCTGTGAATGTAAACTTGCGTTGGAGTCGGAGCTAACGTGTTTCGCAAAGGATGGCAGCATCTACTGCAAAGAGGATTACTACAGGTAAGGGGTACACGAACGAAGTCTTGTACGAATGTTGGCAAAAATAGCTTTATTAAGATTTCGACGATCAAAGACCAATTGGATAATAATTTTGAGTAAAGATTATTATTTTACCAGGCTGCTGCTTTTCGTTTAGGATGACAATGTTGGGCCTGCATATGCTTTTAATCTTATTGTTGTGTTAATGTATATGCTTTACTGCATGCAAATGAATATTTGTTAGTGCAACCTTTACCAACATATACAATAATAAATGGGTGAAAAACAAATATATTGGTGGTAGTGACAGTCAAATATGTGTGTTTACAAGGCATTATCAGTGTCAAAAATACAGTAATTATCTGAGTCACTTTCAATGCAAATGTATATTATCTGCCTTCAAAGCACCATCTTTTTTAGCTGAATGTCAGGGAGAGAGTAGTGATGGAACCTGTTAGGAGGGAGAAAAGAAGCTCACCTTTTATACGGAGAAACAATACTTAATATTATGGATAGCTCTACATTTGTGACATCAAGTCAAATTAACGTACAACGCCGGTTTTTAAAAAGTGTTGCCAAGGGTGTTACATGTAAACGCATGCTAATGTCCAGGGGGGCCTGAACTCATACTACATTTGGTATTACGATTAAAATCACTCAAACGTCTCTGCCTCGGTTTTTAACAACAGCCTAATATGGAGACATGGCGTATTGTTTCCTAACATCCAAAAGACAATGTTTGTGTGTGTTTGTGCTCCCCGGGAGTGTGTTTTTGACGATGCGTCTGTTCCAGAAGGTTCTCGGTGCAAAGGTGCGCGCGCTGCCACCTGGGCATTTCCGCCTCGGAGATGGTGATGCGCGCGCGAGATTCCGTGTACCACCTGAGCTGCTTCACGTGCACCTCGTGCAACAAGACCCTCACCACTGGCGACCACTTCGGCATGAAGGACAGCCTCGTCTACTGCCGCCTCCACTTCGAGAGTTTGGTGCAGGGCGCCGACTACCACCCCCAGCTCAACTTCGCCGAGTTGGCGGCCAAGGGCGGCGGCCTGGGCCTGCCCTACTTCAACGGCACCGGCACTGCTCAGAAGGGCCGGCCGAGGAAAAGGAAGAGCCCCGCCATGGGCTTGGATTTACCGAGTTACAACACAGGTGAGACCCCCCCGCCCCCTCACACTCGTAACACACAATAAAGTTTTTTTTTTTTTTTTCCAAAACCAACCTTCCCAACATAGCTTCCTAGAAGTTTCCACATTCCCAATTTTATCAAACACAACACGAGAAAACCTTTCCCAAGTCTCACTCGTAGAAAACATAAATTAATTAGATCAGTGTTTCACAACATTTATTACACATGGAATACTTTACAAAGAGCTACTTTTTTTGAGGAAGATTACATCCACAAACAAATCTCACAAAAAGTGGAAACAGAGGTTAATTGCCATCTAGTGGAAGAGCACTTAATTGTTCTGAATGTCAATATACGTCACTGTCTTAGGTTGATGAACAAATATATATTATTGTATTTCATAAATAATTTTCAGACCAATTAAATGAAATTGCACAATTTCATGTGACAAGCATGATAATCTTTCATAGCTCATGTATGAAAAAAAAAAACGGAGTGCAAAAACAGCTTCCAACCTGTATGGAGTCAAAGTACATTTTTACATAAAAATTAATCCATCTACACACCACCGCCCCAAATAAGTCACAATTAATGGATATACGTGTAGTCTCGTGGAAGAGCAGTTAATTGCCTGCCTGTCACTCCATGACACGAGCATAAATCGGTAAATTATTTGTAGTAAATGGTTTCGGACCAATTACGCGGGATTGCACAATTTCAAGCAATTGATAATATCTCACTACATAAGGAAAAAGAAGGAAAAAAACAATTAGCAACACAAAGGTTTTTACATTAATGATTTTTCCAAAAACAACACGAAGAAAACATTAGCAAAATCTAACTTGTGGAAAAAATTATTCCAATAGATCAGTGTTCGCCACCCCCACCCTCCTCCTTTTTTTGTGAGTCGAGGAACACATTTGAATGAGCATAAAATCACATGGAACACTAACAAAACAAAGGTTTCACAAAAATCGGTCATCTTATGGAAGAGCATTTAATTGCTCTGCGTGTCCCTATATGTTGCTAAAATAGATAAACAAACAAAGATACATTAGTGTCTGGGAAGAATTATTTTTTGGTCTAAATTGGTATGCTTGTACAATATATCTATGTATCTATCAGTTTTTGCTACCTCTTTTTGAGCCAAAGTACATATTTTACATTACAAAAAGATCTCATCTCCACGTATCCAAATATAATTTCTATCGAGTGGAAGAGCATTTAATTGTTATACCCGTCACTATACACCGCTGTCATAGATAGACAAACAAAGATTTCTTATTTGTAGAGATGAAATAATTTTCGGACGAATAAGTGAAAATTGCACAATTTGCTGCGACACGCTTGATGATCTCACACGGCACAGTGGTTGACAATTACTGAATTAAATGATGAATTTAAATGTCCGTTTATGTAAGGGGTTGCATGTCTGGATGAAATAAATCTGCCCTGAAGGTAACCGATGGCCTTAGTCACCAAATAATTAATTTACCGTCATCCGTTCATTTTCACATCAATCACACGTGTAAACAGTCACTGCGGTTGTTTGGCCAAATTAAATACAAAAATATACGTTTTGCACATTCTTTGTCTGTTGTCGGTAAGTAAATATTTGACTGAAGAGGATTTTGAATTACCGGTACAAAAAAAAAAAAAAGGACAAAAAAACCCTCTTGTACGTGCTCCGAGTCGCTGGACCCCGCAGCGTCCCAATTTTTCGTGTCTCTTTGCGAATTAGTGCGCGCTTGATAAGCGAGTCATTGTGCGGCCGAGTTGTGTTCCCGATGAGTGGGGGGAGGAAGAAGGGTAATCTGCGCGTTAATTGTTCTCCGTTAATTGGAAGCGACGTTGGAATCCCGGCCGGGCCTCCAGCGCTGCGGCCAGGCCCAGGCCGTCGTTCTCAGGCCACTGCATGCCGCTCCATGCATCAACTAGATACCACAAACAAGATTCTCTTTCTTTTATTCCTTTATGCAAATGAGAGCTTTTCTCATGGAACCCTAGGATGAGATTGATTTTAAATTGCCAGTTGAAAAAAAAATGCATGCATACTTACATTATACAGAATCAAGCACAAATAATTTGGGGTATCTATAACAGTCTTAATTTTCCTGATTTCTGTCCTTATCTGCGGCATGAATCTTTTCAAAACGATTATCAAAGCTGTGACTAACGATGAACAATCAAACGGGATTGTTAAATATGAACAAAAATAGGAGACGATTAAATCAGTTTGAACGTGTACAAACCTTTGACACCCTTTTCATTGTAGTCTCCCCAAAATGTTCCTGTTAATATCCGTCACTCTGCGCACATCTGAAACCTCATCTTTGCTACAAATAGGATCCGATTCCGCTGTTGTTTTGATGTTATTTGTCTCAAGTGAGCCTTTTCTAGCTTTGTTTTGAACACGCCGAGCTCGCTGAGTGAGTCTACTGAGTATTGTTATTCCACACCTCTCCATTAGGTTAGGTTAGGTCTTCTTTGGATACAGAGACCCCTAGTGGGTAACTGTTGTAAAACAATGTGTGACACAGATGCCAATAATCTGCTTTTTATTAGTGTGAATCGGTGCCAGGCTGAGCTGTTGTGACAGCCGAAATAACATGAACCATCACATTCTGCCAAGTATGATTGCACATGTTGTCCTTTTTTTATTTTGAGCCTCAAGTTCACAGTCCAACAGCGTACTATTAAAAAAAAAATGGTATGTTACAAGCATCAGGACAACAACGTAACCTTCAGTGGTACCCGGTGTAATGTATTCATGTTCAATATATGTGGCAAACCATTATAAGTTGTTGTCACAGTTGGTAATAATAATGCGCTGGAGACGTGTGTTGTGGTTTGGAATGATGTGCCACAGTCAGTTTACCACTCATTATGCATTCAATACATTATTACAGTGTTGCAGAAAAGTTCATTTACTGAAGTAGTTCTGTTCAAAAATTGACATTTGATGCAAAACACAATATTTGACATAATTTGAAATATGAATATGTCGACAAGGCTAGATATATTTATCAAAATTCCAAAAGTATATTCCAACAGACGTAGATTTTTATAACCAATTTCAGAAAGCCATTGATGAAATGTAGCCTTTTTTCACCCCCAGGAAAAAAAAAACATTAATAGGAAGAGGGCTAATATTATATTACACATCTCATTAAGATGTGAGATAGGTTGAGCAATGTTTTTAGATTGATGATACGAAATGATGTTCAGACAGATTCTTACAAAAATGGCAAATGTACTTTTCAGTAGCTAAATTCCAACCTATCTACTTATCTATCTATCTATCTATCTATCTATCATATATATATATGTGCGTGTGTGTGTGTGTGTGTGTGTGTCATATTCTAGTTTTTTGAGATGGTGAATTTGGGGGTTTTGTCAGCCGTATGTCTTATCATCAAAATTCTAAAAAAAAAAAAACCCAAAAAACCCTCAAAAATCGAATAAATCACTGCGTGCAGTGAATCTCAATAATAATATGTTATTTTAATGATTTGTAAGTAACCACAATTAAGTTTTCCACAAGATCTGTCTGAGCCACATGAATGCCGAGCCACACAAACATGTTGACTATTTGATTTCACCACTGCTGCCGGTTGACGTCGCTCCGCCGTCTGCTCGCAGGCTGCAACGAGAACGACGCAGACCACTTGGACCGGGACCAGCAGGCCTATGCGCCGACGCAGAAGACCAAGCGCATGCGGACCTCCTTCAAACACCACCAGCTGCGGACAATGAAATCCTACTTTGCCATCAACCACAACCCGGATGCTAAAGACCTCAAGCAGCTGGCCCAGAAGACGGGCCTGACCAAAAGAGTTCTGCAGGTAAGCACGGATCTGTTTACCTTCCTCATATGATCAGTCCCCGAGTGTTCCTGCATCCAGCCCCGAATCCATGACCCCCCCCCCCCACCCCCTCACCTGCCATTTCACCCAAGAACTCACATTTATTCTTTCTTTTGTTTTTTTCATTGAGCCATGATGGATGTAATCATTAGCTGGGTGTTTGGGATGTAATTTGCTGTTTTTGGAGGTAGCAAGGAGTTGATTAGTGTTTGATTTCAAAGAAGAGTGCACATGTTCTTTCAATTTCCAACGGATGATCATTCCCCTTTTCATTTCTGTGCTGAGATGAGGAGCGGACATAGATGTATGGCGCCCTTAACTCCCCAAATCTTGTTTCAATTCATGTTGATCTCCAGCTGTAGTTGTGTGCTGTATTTCTTGAAAGCAGTCGTACAACAACACAAAGAGTAAAAGCCGCCCTGGCGTTGGTTTGCAGGTTTGGTTCCAAAACGCGAGAGCCAAATTCAGAAGGAACGTTTTACGACAGGAGAATGGAGGTGTTGATAAGGCTGATGGCACCTCACTCCCTCCGCCCTCGTCCGACAGTGGGGCCCTGACCCCCCCCTCCAGCGCGGCCACACTAACAGACCTGACAAACCCCTCGATTACCGTAGTGACGTCCGTCACCTCTAGTTTGGACAGCCACGATTCGGGGAGCCCTTCACAAACTACCTTGACGAACCTTTTCTAAGCTAGAAGACTGTTTTTTCTTTTGCTTTATAAATGTTATTTTCTCTAATTGAGTTTTTTTTTCTTTCTCACGTTTTTTTTTTTTTTTAAATTGGCCTTTAAATCAAGCAGCGATGGCTCCTTTGAAGAGTGTGCAAGAGCAAGAAGAGCAGTGGCCGCATTGAACTTTTGTAGAACAAACAAATGTGTAGCATTTGACAACCTCATGGCAGTGACGGACTTTGGGAAAGGACTTTCAGAAAATCATCGGGGAAAACAATAACTAAAAGCCTGGAACTTAGTTCAATCTTCATTTGTACATTTGTATTGAATGATTACAAAATTGAGCCCTTTTTAATTACTGGTGAATTGGTGAACTTTGCCCTCCGAAACATGTAATTGTTTGCTTCCCATTTCAGTTTTTGTTTGTGTTTTGAAATCATTTGGGAAGCAAAACTTGTCGAATGTTCTGTATATGGGTCCAAATCCAGAAAACAGTGTTTGAATCCTCTTCTTGAATGTCTCCCATCTGTATGGCGATTGAATCCGATATCAAGATAGAACCCCAACATATTTTATGACTTGTTTCACACATTTATTGTGCTAATAGTGGTAACAATCACCCAATCGTAGCGGTAGCAAACGTTTCGTCGTTCGACAACAAATTTGGATCGGAGAACAGTTGATGGGCACTGTCGGAGTCCGCTGTCACTTCTTGTTGGCCTGCTGGATGAATTGCAGTAAAATTGAACCCAGTAAACACATCCGCAGATCGAGTCAATTGCACAAAGCCCCCCCCCTCCCCCAACAGTAAAAAGTGCATTATTGTTTTATCATGTTGCTCAGGGTGATTTTTTTTTTAATGGAAAAGGGAGTGTAGTATAACGATGAAGACTGGATTTGTAGAACTGGCATTGAAAAAAAAAAAAGGCTTCAGATAGGTGAAGTTCAGTGTAGGTGGAATCACGTTTTCTCCTGACATTGACTTTCTGGAAAAACACTTGCCACTGATCAGACCAAAAACAAAACAAAAAAAAAAAAAACAAAAAGAAAAAAAAACCCGAAACATGTTTCTTCTGGCTGAAAGGTAGTGAGAGAGAGAGAGGAGCAGAAGACACATTTCCATTGTGTGCGTCCTAATTTGTTCTCTTGAAGAACAAAATGGTACTCCGAGTCTACTTGATGAAGTAGATGCCTAACTCAGTTCTACTCTTATGTGCCTTATGCGATGACGTGGGAGAAAAGGTTGTGAAATTCAGGATTCTGTGTGTTCTTTGTTATCTGATTCGCACCCTTCGGACGCCTCACTAGTTTTGTACTGTTTTGCATCTTATTTTCAAAGATCTTTTTATGGTGTATCCTGTTTTGAAGAAAAAAAAAAAAGAAGAAGAAGAAGAAGGGGGGAGGGGCAGCGATGTCATAGAAAGCATTTGTGCACTCTTTCAGATATAGTTCCAAGAACCTTATATATTGATCTTCGTGTTAATAGTTGAGTACAGTAAGTGTTCTATCAAGATTGTCCATGTTTCCCTGTTTCTTGATAAAGATGGTGTATAGAAACTATTTCCCCTTAAATATTTATGGACCAAAACGGTTGTTATATATCTTATTAAATTTGTGTGAATAAAAACAATACTTTGCTTTAAATGGCTTTTTATTTTTCATTGCACTCGCCATTTTTGTGTTCTTTCTTGAATACCGTTTTTTTTTCCTTTTGTCACATCAACAGCCCAGAGAGCGTTTGCTTTGCAGCAAGCCGTTGACTGACCCGTCGTTCCTCATTTTTGCTTCCATTTTAATTTCTATTTCCTCTTTTATGATGTTTTTTTAAACGTAATGCCCCATGGATTTGCATCCAAAACCCTGCAGTCCAAAACTTTGAAATTTGCTTTTTAATGCATGATCATGGCTGTAGGATTTGAATCGACAGAATGCCGCAAAGCACATATTTACATATGTATAACGTGGTAAACCTAAAAATGAAGTCAAAATCAATGCAGACCCCGTAAAGTCAGGTTGATCTGTAGTTAATATATTCTTACTCTATCATTTCTTTCAGGGAGAACAAATCTTGGGGCATTACAGCCATACATCCCGACGTTTGAAAATTCCCTAAAGTATTAACAGAAGGGGGAAACTTTGATGGGAGTTCCTCACCATTGAAGACAAAGACAATATTAGGATAAGATGATATAGCATATCGAGATCAAATATTCACTTGCAAGTGTACAGCAGATGTTGTTTGGCCACAGCAGAATGAGTTGTTTGAATCCACCCAAGCGAGGAGAGCGCACCATGTATGATACTGATGATGCCACTCAATGTTTGTACTGGAAGGACTCATGCAAAACTATGACAATAAAATGTATTGTGACGTTTAAAAAAAAAAAAAAAAAAAAAAAAAAACTACTCAAACTACTCCACAGAGGCCACACCACATGTAAAAACCAACCCAGACCGTATTCCCATCACACATGCACACACACACTTCTCTCACGGCCTCCTATATGAAAGCACAGCACAGTATATATACATCCCATAAAGTATTTTTTTTTTCTCAACCACACACGTTCTGCCCCCACTGCCCTGTCCTTCTACAGCACATACAAGTTTTCTGTGTTGTCACGAGGGTCCTTTTTTGCAAAGCACACGGCCTCCTTGAAAATGGGCATGAGCAGCAACAGCAGGATGTCCGTCAAATGTGATGCGCGCATGAAGACGACTGCGGAGCTGGAGCTTTGCCATCTGTCTGTGGCGAGCGACGCCAGGATGGGAATAAAACGCAGAAGGAAGAGAGTCTCATTTTGCATGCGCCTTATTGTTCACGATATACTTGAGGTGTATATTATTTGCTTTGAGTCGCTGTGTGATTGTCCGCTGCAAAATAAAATATGGGAAAATCTTGTCCCTGACGTGTTTACATGTGTTTAGTACACATTATAGGGGATAATAGACCTACAGTGTTCTTGACATTAAGCACACTGTAGGTGGAATCAGTCACATGACCCCTTTCACATGACTACGATGAGCTCAAGGTATGACAGAACGTGGCCGGATATTCTTTCATTGAGCTTCACTGATTTCAAATCTTAACTCCAGAGGTATTTTTAATGGCAGTGTGACAATGGACTGTAATGTGATTGTGAGCAGACAAATCTGTCGCGTTATTGCATCAACTTTTTATGTTTCGTGAAACAATGATATATAAACATGTGGAATGCATTTCTTAAACACTGAATTTATGTAGACTTTATGTAAAAAGAAAAAAAAGGCCTACCAACCAGTCGAAATAAACTTTTTTTTCTTCAAAATTACAGCCTTTGTGATTTGAAAATTGCATTCTCTTATTTTATTTTGTTGATTTGAATTTGACTCCATTTTCAGCGCTAATTTATTGTAAAATCCTTTGGAATTGCATTTCTTGGCGAAAAAAAAAAAGGTTTATACGAAATCAAATGTCACCATCATACGGTTTCTGGAGCCATGAAATTTTATTCTATTTCAGCAGTTCATGATTACATTTTTTTACGTTTTTTTTCAACAAGCAGGGAAATCCATAATGATGAAATAAACACAACAACGCTTCTCGAAAAACAGCATTCACGGATGTGCTCAGCAACCACTCAAAACATTACACAGTACACAGATGATTACATGACCAATGAAATGAAGTGTATGCCTTGGACTGGTTGCCAGTCAGCCACAGGCTATACGTATGGACAAACAGCCATTCGCACTCGCATTCAAACTGACGTACAGTTTAAAGCCTTCCATACAATGATGTCCATCCATCCATCCATCCATCCATTTTCTGAACCGCTTTATTCTCACAAGGGTCGCGGGGCGTGCTGGAGCCTAACCCAGCTGTCTTCGGGTAGTAGGCGGGGGACACCCTGAACCGGTTGCCAGCCAATCGCAGGGCACACAGAGACGAACAACCATCCGCGCTCACACTCACACCTAGGGACAATTTAGAGTGTTCAATCAGCCTGCCATGCATGTTTTTGGAATGTGGGAAGAAACCGCAGTACCCGGAGAAAACCCATGCAGGCATGAGGAGAACATGCAAACTCCACACAGGAAGACTTTTGATGTCAATTTAATCTTTTAAGTGTGAAATAAAATTGCGCTTCTCGAACCATTGATTCACTTTTTTTCAAAGCAGGCTGCATAAACCGTATGATGGTGGCAAAAGACCAGCCTGGGGGATGATTCAGGGCTCACATGGTTTGCATTAAAATAATAATAAAACAATTTGATTTCAAGAATGGCTATCACGCGTTTGCTTTGTCACCTACAGTATAACGCTGAAATTCAGGCCGATTAAAAAATAATAATAATAATTGAAAGAGCTTCAACTGGTTTGGTTTTTGCTTAGCCAGCAAACAATTGTATGTCGGGGTGTTCAGAATGGCGGCACCAGGTAACCACTAAGCAACAAATGAGTGCCCCACAGGTCTGTCCTAAAAATAGTACACCCGAGGAATGTTGTCAAAGTTTATAGAAATAGCGTGTCCTCTATTTATGTTTCCTACATTATTAAATCATAGTTACTAATTGTGAGCAATCATGAATATGATCAGTGTCTTCACATAGATCCATCCATCCATTTTCTGAACCTCACAAGTGTTGCAGGGTGTGCTGGAACCCATCCCAACTGTCTCCGGGCAGTAGGCAGGAGACACCCTGAATTGGTTGCCAGCCAATCGCAGGGCACACGTAGACGAACAACCATCCGCGCTCACACTCACACCTCGGGACAATTTTGAGTGTTAACCTGCCATGCATGTTTTGTGTGAGGAAACCGGAGTACCTGGAGAAAATCCACGCAGGCATGAGGAGAACATGCAAACTCCACACCGGAAGGCCAGAATCAAACCCTGCATTTCTGCACTGTGAGGCCAACGCACTAACCAGTCGCCCTCCGGGACCCCCGGTCTTCACAGAGATGAATAGCATAATTATTAATACAAACATAATTTTAGGTTGAGCAAAGTTGTTATTTCAGAAGTGTGAATCAAACTGGTAGCCCCTGACACTAATCGAGAAGTAGCTCCCAGTTTCCAAAAGGTTGGTGACCACTCCTCTGGATTGTAGTGGCCAATTTCAAGATCCTTTAGAATAGTCACCCCCACACCCCCGCAAAAATGCCAGCAAAATGACTTATTCTGAAATTGTAAAAAACATTAAAAATGCCAAATACTTTTCAATTGTTGGGATGAATGATGATGTAGATTTAGTGGTGGTGTAGATTTGAAAACCACCGTTGCTGCTAGGTTTGGCGTGTTCTGTAAATAATCTACTGGAGACGTGTGTCCTGGCGAATGGCCTGAGGGGGAACATGCTGAATATTTGCTGATATCAACTTATTCGAAATAGCAATAGACATTTAAAAATGCATCTCAAACAAGAGCTTTTGGTCTCATGAGGGTAAAAGGTTGAAGGAATTGAGTAAAAAAAAAATCGCTCATTCCAGCCATGGTTTGAAGCCACATACTGAGAATGTATAAGTAGAAGACAAATGCGTTTTGTGTTGGAAAAGCAAACGGAGCCGGATAAAGAGACTGGGGCCACATGGGGACCAGTAAACAGGCCAGTGTTGAATTCCAACAATGTGAGAAACAGCAAACACTTGAGTATGTCCAACGAGGAAAGCCCAACTTCTTCCCTTGTGCAGACTTCAGGTCGGTTTGACGTTTCAGGAGGCAGACAAACCCCACAAAGAAAAAGAAGAAGAAGAAGGAAAAACAGTCAATCTGTTGTGCAGCTGGAAAATGTTATATTCTGGACAACATCATGGCCACTGTGATGACAAACAAATATTGGGCTTTGCTGCCAGATTGTTGGTGAGTGGAATGCAGTTTATCGTATTAAGCGGAGTGCACACGCGCGCGTGTGTGTGTGTGTGTGTGTGTGTGCGTGTGTTTGTGTGCGTGTGCGTGTGTTTGTGTGTGTGTGTTTCTAAGTGAGCCTCCCCCTCACCAATAGAAACTCTACGCCCACACCATCACCTTCTTAAAGGGATACCTCACATGTAATGAAGGTGATAACATTATTTTTCATGCACATTCAATAACCTTAAAAATCGATTTCAAAAATAATATAGTTGGCTGCCATGTTCATTGAGTATGTCACTAAAGAACCACCCACATGTGTGTCAGCTTTGGACCAGAGTGGAAATGTATGAAATTCATAGTGCTCACCCCAACTCCATATTAACCCTTAATGTTTTAATTTCCTCTTAATGTGTCGTAATTTGGCTACATAATCACTAGTTTTACACATCTTACATTGCTTATTTGGAAAAATACGTGCAAACATACACTTCTCAACAGTTTTTCAGCACGTTTGTGTGTCCCATCAACTGCGTGTGATTGCACTGAGACTGTTCATGATGCATTCAAAGGCAGTTGGGGAAAACAAGTTTTTATGACATGTTCAAGAGGAATGGATTTTCTTTAAAATGTCTGTAGACATGTGCGAGAACTCTCTCTCTCTCTCTCTCTCTCTCTCTCTCTCTCTCTCTCTCTCTCTCTCTCTCTCTCTCTCTCTCTCTCTCTCTCTCTCTCTCTCTCTCTCTCTCTCTCTCTCTCTCTCTCTCTCTCTCTCTCTCTCTCTCTCTCTCTCTCTCTCTCTCTCTCTCTCTC